TGTATAATGCTAATAAACCGGGAGCGGGCGGGAACTGAGAGGAGCTAGGCATTCAAAGTGCACGTCCCTTGCCGCTGGGAAAACGGCCATCAAGTGCCCCGGCTAAGGGTTGGCAGGACTTCCGGACGATGCTCCGGTAAAGAGTCCCCGTCTTTGCTTCCGGTTCTTATTATTGATAGGAACATTCCGCATGTTGGAGTACGGACTAAATTAATTTATGTCACCGTGTCACTGATGATGTCGAGAGGCCCTGTGATTCTGAGAATCCTCTCTGCCTCGTGTGGGCCTACGTATCAATTCTGGTTTACCGCTCATAGAATTGTACGCAGTTGAATGCAACAAATAATAATGTGCAGTTATTTCGAAATGAAAGGGGCGTGGTTATATGAATAGAAGCATTACGAGTTTCACAGTTTTTTTCGTAGGCTTGTAACAATTGCTGTAATTGTATCGCGCACTTTGTTTAATTACTTTGTAATTCGGATCACATCAATGCACGTGGCGTTTCGGAATGTTTCCTCCCACATGCCGTTGAGCCTCGGCGCCGTGCCCGATAAATATGTCCGATGCAAACCCGTATAAACATCGTTTCAATTGTATTCTCGCGCAGTGGATTATTAATGCGACTTTTGGAATGTGCGAACACCGTGTGGCCTGTACTCCACATCGCCTCTTTGAGTTCGTATGCGCGCAGAAGTACGAGGGTCGCTCATTAAGTAATGCCCCACATTTTTTTCCTCAGAATATATTTATTCAAGATGGCTGAAATTTAGTGACAATATAAATCAATGTTTCCCTTACACATACTATTTTTCCACATAGTCCCCATCAACTTGTACGGCTTTACGCCATCGTGGAACAAGTGCGTGCATGCCTTGCCGGTACCAGCTCTTGTCCTGTGCACGTAGCCATGTCCTCACTGCTTGAATCACGCTCTCGTCATCTTCAAATCTTGTTCCGCGGATAGCATCTTTGAGTGGCCCAAAGAGATGAAAGTCGGAGGGTGGATGGGGCAGCACCGTCCAACCCAATTTGGTGATTTCTTCCCGGGTTCTCGGACTTGTGTGAGGGCGTGCATTGTCGTGCAGGAGCAAAATTTCTGCTGGACGCTTCACGCGATCGGAGCTTGTCCCAGCGCGACATCTTGGGGTTCCTTCAGAGTGTTTACTCCTCCAGAGAAAAGCAGATTTAAACTATGATTTTATCCCCTGTTTTGTACTGATGTGGAATTTCGACCTTCGTCCTAAAGGGAAAATTAAGTCCCCGTTCTAGTGAATGGGCAGCGAATCGAGTGTGTGGAAGGTGATGAACAAGATGAGCCAAGAATTAACACTACACTAAAGACTTTGACAAGAGGACAACAGTTTATAAAGAGAAGCCACGTAATTTGTGTTGTGGTAGTCAAATCCTGGAGGATTAGATGAGCGACGTCTTCCTGTCCTAAGTTCGTTTGATAACGCTGTATCAGTGATTGACTGTTGACGTTGGGTCTGATAGGGGTGAGAGACGAAAACATAACCCAGAGAAACTGCAATTGAGTGAGTGAACGCAGAAATAAAGGGGCCTTTAGAATGTGAGAAGTCATCTCGTACGTGCTGAATAAGAGCTCGTGAAGTGTATTTTCAAGATGAATTCTAACCCCTGCATCAGACAGGATGTCTGCTCGAGAATGGGGCCACATAAAATGGGAGGACTTTATTCAGAAGAGTGGGTGGGGTAAATCGAAAGCTGTAACGGGGTCAGACATTCATATTAGATATACGATTTCGTAAGTCGGCTGTTTGTTCAAAAGCCGCATATCGGCCAACGTCTCTGGCTCCCGTTTGCACTTGTTAACACTCAGAATTTGTTGCGTGCCGTCCCACTTCATTTTAAACGTGCGTGTGTCAAGGTTCTATTTTTAACTTTAACCACAGATGATGCAGTTTGTTTTCCAACTAAATTGGTTGCTTCTTTAAGTGGTTGGCACTCCTGCATCGTGTTCACGAGGTCTCGGGTTCATATCTCTGTCGTGCCTGTTTTCCTCAGTCTCGTTCACAATGTCTGGATAGTACCTTAAATCAGCCACGACCGCTTCTTTTCCTTACATTTGATCAGCTTACCATTAGGTATGGTCTGAGGTGCTGACAGCGTCGTTAAAGAAGCCTGTTACATTATTTATTGGTCCTGAGTCTCTGCCGGATGTTAACATAAAATTTGTTTATTTTAAGAGGTTATATTTTACTGGATTTAAGCTGGTGGATGTGTGCATATTCCAAACTCGGAGTCTGAAGCCACAAAACAACGTTTTATACACTGCAGCAGTTCTGCTCTGCTTTCCAGCAGCGAGCTCCGCGTGCGCTGTTGTCTGGCTCCTGATCTTTCCTCGAAATGTACATACTCAGCTTCTTTCCCTGTGCTCAGATGTCGAAGTTCAAGCCAGCCATATAAAGTAATATTTCACGACAGAGGGTTGGCAGTGCTGTGTCCCCGTGCATTCATTTGTCATCTCACGCTGTCACTTGTTATTATAACCTCGTCTCCAGCCCTGCAGTGCGCTGTGGCGGCCGAGGCAGATTAAAGATGGCCACTGACGCGATCGGAATTTGAAAGCTATTCTATGGAAGAGGCGGTAGTATTTACACAGCGCGTCTCC